GCCCAGGTCTTGCAGGGAAGCTACTCGTACACCGCCCCCGACGGTACACCCGTAACCACAAATTGGTACGCTGACGAAACCGGATTCCACGCTTCAGGAGACCACCTCCCAACCCCTCCCCCAGTACCAGAAGCGATCGCCAGGTCCCTCGATTTCCTCAGATCCGTCGAAGCATCCCGGCCACAAAACGTTCAAGCCAAATACTAATCAAGCTGTTCCTTGTATATTACATGTAATATAAAACGTAAACTTTATTTACAACGTTATTTCAAATACCTCTTCTTATTCCTAAAAAAATCAGCACATATACATGAAATATTCAACCAAACAGAATATGACATTCAAAATTCATTTGTTTTTAAGAATACCTCCTTGTCATGAATCGGTTCAGTTGGGCTTTGCCAAGAGAAGACAAAGACTGTTTCTTCTGTCGAAAGTAATAATTTTAAATTCATTATTAACTTTTCTTAAATTCCAATATTTAGTTGCTGTAAACTAGATTTACGTCATCTATGATATGAGATCAACTTTTTTTTCGCATCTGATGGAAAACGTACCAATACTAAACATACTACATAATTAAAGGCAGCAAGGGGTTGAGGGTATACAGTACCGTGCAGACCGCACTTATTCAACCGTCGTTATATCTGATGTATTTAAGTACATTAGACAGTTAAACAGACATGAATGGACAACGACAATCAGAGGGGTTGTTAATACAATTAGTTATAAATTTATAATTTACATAAAACGTAAACAATTGAATTTTTTAACATAACAATTTAGTAGGGGAACCGCGGTAGCCGAGTGGTTAGCATGAGAGACTCTCAAGCCGCGGTCGTGGGTTCGATTCCCACCGTCGCCTCTGGCCCTTTTTTCACAATAACCCCCCCCCCAAATTTGAACACACATATATGAATTGTCACATGGCTAATATGCATAGTTCATAACGCCAAAAAAAAAAAAAATTAGTAAGATATACATATATCAAACAAATCATTAGTTGTTTTTTTTCTTCTATAAATTAATAAATTTTGTAATTGTTTCCCTTTTTTTACTTAATGTAGAAAATACACATACATATATCATAAAAATACAAGGAGAGGTGAAAAGGAAAAAGTTCAATAATAAAATTAATGAGTACATAATTCAATAATGAAACGAGTAGAAATACATTTTCTCTTTATGATTAAAACACTCGGAAAAAGCATTTGCATAGGGGTTGATACTGATATTTGATATTTCAAATATATGCATTATATGGATTTTTATCGTTATATTAGTTACAATATATTTATTTTAATGTAAACCGCATTAAAAAGATCATTAATTCATTTTTTTATGCAAAAATTATTTAGTTATGATATTTTGAAAGAAAATTAATTAAAACACCGGAATTTGAGTACCTAATTTTACTCTTACCTCAGAATTAAGGAAATTTGGTCTGATCCATTTTAACACGATTTTGTTTTTCATAATTAAATATTTTTATTAAAACACATGATTTTCCGATCTCTTTCATTTGCTTTAATCTTTCCATATAATTTTTGTGTCTACGGTATGTGTTATATTTATAGTTATCATACTACATTAGAAAAATTGAGGAAACAACTCTTGACCCTTAACGACGTTTTCCTATTGGCCTACTGAACAAGTAGTTAAAATAAAAAGCGGTTATAGCTAAAATCTTTAGCTTTCGTACGTATCCGATACTGTATACCAGTTGGGCAGAATGTAACTAATTCAATCATGATTAAGATTTTGCCCAACTGGTATCCGATACTGTATACCAGTTGGGCAAAATCTAACTAATTCAATCATGATTAAGAATTTTGATTGAAATTTAATCATGATTGAAATAGTCATGAGTAAATTATTCATTATATGATTTAGTCATGATTAATTCTATCATGAGGTATGACTAAATCACACAATGATTAATTCAATCATGACTAATTCAATCATGATTAAACATCAATCAAAATTCTTAATCATGGTTGAATTAGTCATGAGTAAATTATTCATTATATGATTTAGTCACGATTAATTCTATCATGAGGTATGACTAAATCATACAATGATTAATTTAATCATGACTAATTCAATCATGATTAAACATCAATCAAAATTCTTAATCATGGTTGAATTAGTCATGAGTAAATTATTCATTATATGATTTAGTCACGATTAATTCTATCATGAGGTATGACTAAATCATACAATGATTAATTTACTCATGACTAATTCCATCATGATTAAACTTCAATCAAAATTATTAATCATGATTGAATGAGTTAGATTTCGCCCAACTCTGGCTACAATGACCAACTTACCAAAATCGAACAGACTCCGGATAAAAATTTTGAGATGAAAGTCGTGCTCAAGGCCAACCTTCAAAAAGTGTTTTCATAAACGAAAACCAAAGTTACATAATTATTCTTCATGTCTATTTTATTACAACCAAGACCCCTAGATGGTGTATTTTCCAAATAATGTAGAAATCTCACCTTTCAGGTGGAATAAATTTTAATTCAAAGAAATATTTTTTCCATTTATCGGTTATGTAAACATATTTGATTTACAAAGTGTAGCTTTTTCTAGGATTTATTTTATTATTATCATTATTTTTTAGCTTTTCATTACGACGTAGTTTTACTTATAATTGGAAGATTGATTTTGTTAAATAAGATGTTGAAGGATTTTCGTTTTTTTGTTGTTAATTTTGTTAGAAAATTTTTTAAAAGTGATGAAGTTGTGTATTTTTCATTTTTTTAGCACCCATTTGAACATGATTTATCGAAATTTAGTCATGACTAACTATATTGTGACTAAATTAGTCATGCCTCGTATTTAATTACTAGTCATGACTAACGGTCTGAGTGATCAATAATTAATCATTAGGCACGACTAATTTTTGCCCAACACTGATTATACCCTCAACTCCTTCCGGCCTTTAATGAGAGCCTATTATATAGTATGTTTGGTATAAATATATTTTCCATCATATGCGACAAAAAAATTGATCTAGTCATATCATAGAGGAAATAACTTAGTTCACAGGCGTTTACAAAAAGTTTAAAATGATTATTTAAAGTGTTAAAGTATTTGCCACTTTTTTACTCACGAATTATCTGTATCTCGTTATGGTTCCTATGAAAAAACAAATTCAATTGTTATCTGCCAAGCTTGTTTTCAATTGTTTCTGCTTTCGTCTTCGGTTTCGCCTGCGTACCAGTTTGTGGTGAACTATCGGAGGCGGTGTACGTGTAGCAAGACGTGGGCCTGTCGGTTGTTGGCGATACTGTTACAATCCTTGGCAATGTAAAACCTTCTCAATCTACCACCACTACACATCTTAATGCAGGGAGAGGCCAGAGCCAATTCGTCAGCTAATGCACGGGGACAGGCTCCAATAGCCTACTCACATAACAGGGAGCAACTAAAGCTTCGAGGGGGGCTTCAGCAAGACAGAAGTTTGAGGATGCCGACTGATGCCATGACCCCTAAAATCAGTTTTCAACAAAAATTGCTAATATAGCACAAAAAATACCTTGCATAGCAGACTGGGAGAAAGGGATCTCAGTTAATGCCGACTATATCTTTTTCACAGATGGCTCCTAAACCCAATATGGGTCAAGAGCTAGCATTTACGAAAATAAACCAAGGACTAGAATTCATATGAGGCTTGGACAATATGCTATCGTCTTTCAAGCGCAAAGTGCGGCTATTGAACACTGTTTCAGGGAAATAAAAAGGCTGGGAACTGTCATTAGAAGAATAGCCATTTACTCGGACAACCAATAGCGCATAGCGGGTAAAGTCCAGAGTCGTTTGGGACTGCATTCGACCTCTGTCTGCCTTTGGGAAAAATAAAATATTCACCCTTTTCTAGGTGCGAGGGCACACAAGGGAGAGGGTCAACGAAGAGGTCGATATATGGCCAAGGAAAATTCAATGAGATCACCTATTGGTCCTGAAACCTTTTTTGAATTACCAAACTGCCAAAAACGCGGATTCATTACACAATGGATAGTCCTCCACTCAATGAGAATGTAGCCCGGGACAGATGATGCGAAAAAGTTTATCAAAAGACCATCACAGAAATTAACGGCAGGACTACTAAATGTAGAATGTACCAAGACTAGTAGTTGAACTGCTAACTGGACACTGCAGACTCCGGAGGCATATGTATAGACAAGGAGTGGTAGAAACAAACCTGTGCAGATATTTGGCAAAAAGAAGAATAAACAGCGGAACAAGTCCTCCGTTGGTGCGAAGGCCTATGTAAGCTGAGATTCCTAATCCCGGGAGAGGAAATGCCGGGGCCTGAAGGATGCACAGGGGAAAGCTTTGGAGTCTGGTAAACAGGTAAATGGAGATAGATGCACAATAAACCAGTACTGGTCGCGGTTCGCAGTTCGTACAGAGGTCGGCTCCTCTATAATCTTATTTATCTATCTATCTTTGGCAATGTTGGGACTGAGTCGGTCTTCAAGGAAATTCCAACGTATTTAGTAAAAACTTAGCTAAGTCAATATTCAGATATCTTTATAAATGTTTTGCACTGATGACGATTATAAAGTTCGTCAAAAACTTGCCAAAAATTTTAATTTGCTTTTCATTCAGACAATTTCGAGATCCAGATTAATCGTGATTTAAATTAACTACTTTCTACACCATTAGGTCTTTCTTAAAAGCCCCTGCACAACAGTTTGAATTGCAGTGCTACATGTTCACCTTCTCTTGGCAATGTCCAGCTGCCGCACCTAATGCCAATCAGACATTGGTCAAAAAAACTAAACTTTGAATATCATACTCAACTCATGGTTTGCGGTTAGAACAAGCTGAACCAACCTTGCAGGAGTGTTGTTGGTATTGCTGAGCAACAGCAACTACGACAACTTGACTAAACTTTGAACATCATACTGTCGGCTCAACATTTCAGGTACATGCACTGAAATATTTGAAGCGTAAGAAGGTGTTTGAAATAACGTTGTCAATAAAGTTTAAATTTTATATTACATGTAATATACAAGGAACAGCTCGATTAGTATTTGGCTTGAACGTTTTGTGGCCGGGATGCTTCGACGGATCTGAGGAAATCGAGGGACCTGGCGATCGCTTCTGGCACTGGGGGAGGGGTTGGGAGGTGGTCTCCTGAAGCGTGGAATCCGGTTTCGTCAGCGAACCAATTTGTGGTTACGGGTGTACCGTCGGGGGCGGTGTACGAGTAGCTTCCCTGCAAGACCTGGGCCTGTTCGTCGGGTCCGAGAGGTTTGACGCTTCCTACGACCTGGCTGCTGATGCCGTTTTCAGACTGAAAGCTAAAATCGAAATTAGAAATGAGATAATGTTCGATTATCACTTATCCACCTACTCGTAGTTGAAGTTTCCATCGAAGTTAAAGTTAGAGTTCTGACTGAGGACGGCGACAGGTTTCGCCTTGGTCTGGACAAGGTTTGCGGTTAGAACGGGCTGAACCAACCTTGCAGGAGTGTAATATTGCTGTTGGTATTGCTGAGCAACAGCAACTCCGATAATGCAGAAGAGTACCAACTAATGAAAAAAAAAGTATTCATTCAAACAATTCAAACCGTTATTCTAATTATGGATTTCTTTGTGAAAATCATCTTACAAGAGAGTTCATGTTGGTTTGCTTGCCGAGACCAGACTGTGACATCTTCCCGTTTCGGGCTTGCATATATACTCGGCCGCCAAACCCAGTTTTTGTTTTATTGCCAAGGATCAGAGGAAAGAATTTTTTTGTCTTTAAGCGTATCTATAAAATTATCCACATTCTACATTCAATTATTTTAGAAGAATAAATCGACGTTTTGAAAATACATATTATTGGTATAAAAGGAATTATTTCTTTTGTTTTTCACTTAATTATTAACGAACAATTCCCCATTACACAACTTATTGTACATATAAATAATACGTTATAATTATAACATTATACAATATTTATTGAATATTTTATTTATGGCCTATACACAATATCTTTTTTAGACCAAATATACAGTGAACCAATCAACCAGGTTTACATTATTTACCATAGCCATAATAGGATTTATTGGTACTTCATGTAAGTAGTTGCTGGACTGCGGCTTAAGACTTTATAACTTATAGGTAACTTTACCTTACCTTATACGACACGCTGCGACATTGAACGTATAGAAATATAGTTTTTTTTCTTTTTCCGCCCGGCTATCTACTAGGGTCATTCCCGGCACCTCACGTATATAAGCTTCTCACATTCTCACATCTCTTCTTTGTTTCATTTCAACTTCATCTCTTTCTCATTCACTATATCTCTTCTTTTAATTTTGTTTCCTACTAACAGAGGAATGTCTTGTTGCTCGTTCCTACATCCCACACGTGGTTTGTTAAAAATACTTCAAGCCGCAAGGTTTAGTCTTTGACACGGCGCAAAGTACACAAGTAAGCAGGGCTCAGAGTACAGGTGCACGACTGAAGTCCTGCCCCTATAACTAAATAAAAAGTCGGTAGGATAGTCATAATCCTACCGACTCCTTCCATTTGTGCTAATAAATACATTCATATTGTATGTACAGAATTTCATTCATCCATTAGACTAATTTCCTTTTGACGGGCTTGTGGAGTACTCGATATTCCTCGACATCACGTCCATTTACACAAAACATTCACGCTAGTAAATACATTCATATTGGAGAGGTCGCAGCATCTCAGTAGTATTACTACAACCTTGATAGCGGTGACCTGTCCCTCACATCACACAACAATATATAATTACCTAAATTAATTTGGCGGGCCTGTGAGCTACTCGATATTCAGTCACAGGCCTGACATACCTCATCACCCACGCTAATAAATACATTCACACTGCAAAATTAAGATATCCCACGTGTGGTTGGATAATATATCAATACGCATTTATCAATTTTAAGTAAATTATCTTTGAAGTCACAAAGAGTGGTAGTCAATGTGTTGTACTGTGGCATTGTTCGAAATTGTACAGGTTATACAATAAAACTGGAAAACTCCTCTCACGTTCATTTGTTTTATCTTTTATGTCTTTTATCCCAGATCCTCGTTTTTTGGGTGTGTATGATAATATTAATATATAAAATAATAATATATAAAATTAATATCACAGTTTTCCTCGTTCAATAAATTCTTGAATAATATGGGACGTTTAGGAGTTGATAAAAAGCTGAGGTCATGCTGGCTTTCTGCGTGTTTTACTTGTATTTCTTGTCTATATTTTTCATTCGGAGCCGTTTGAAAAATCTTGATTTCTTATTAAGACTGTGGTTTTCTATGAAAATTATCCTATTAATTTTCCTAAAATACTAGCCACTCATTTGTACCGCAGGTTGTCATCTACAGAATAGGCTAAACCATATAAAACATATTTATTCATCATTACCATATTCAAACATCGAAGTCTAGTCACACTGAGTCTCCCAGAGTACTTGATATTGCTCGAGGCGGGAGTGGAGTCAGTCCATTCTCGCAAATAACTTACTGTTGCTGTCCAGATGTCATACACTACCCTAGAGCACTCGATACTCCTCGGAACGGAGTTATCTATCAACCTTTCACGCCAATAAATGATATTTCTTCCAATAAATTACAATAAACACAACATCCCATACATGAAAGTCTCGCTATATTCACTCTCGCAGAGTACTCGATAGTACCTCGGAACGGAGTTAAACACCCCCATCCATTCAAGCTAATAAATTACATTCATTTTAATATTTTATCGTAAATTCAATATAGACACAGCACATACCAAAACAAACACATAAACACTATGTACATTTAAAAATCCCTATAGCCCTGAGGTACCTGAACAGCGAACTCTGCTCGCCACTATACTTCAAGATTCACACAGGTCGGACGATATATGAAAATATTGCCTAAACGTCAAGCTTTCTACAATTGAAAGGTTCGACCGTTATTTTATTCGTGCTATCGAACAAACGCTTCGTCTTCTGGGCAGAAGGTGCCCGCGAGTTGTTCTGGTATAACCTATGCCTAGTTTTGCCAGTAACGCCTTTCCTTTTTCGACCCTCCGCACATCGTTCAAGTTTAAATAACAAATAAATTTGACGAAAATCTAGTTTGGAGATATTTAATTTTGCAGGTCCTCATTCTAATAAAATTCAATATAAACTAAAATGTTCCCCTATAAAAGATAACAGATAAAAGTATTTATTATAACCCATGAAGGCAGATAACATATCTATATCATCACATTACATTCCACACATCAAATATTTTTCACATAATCTAATTTCCCAACAATTTAGGTTTCCTTTTCCTATTTTATCCCTTTCTTTTATCTATCTAATCCTGAAAGGAAAATCTGACGGAACCATTACCAACACATTTTTTCTCTTCGTCGGCTCTTTTCACCTCAAAGAAGCCGATGCCTTATACAAAAATATCTTTTCTATACCGACATTCTTCCCCACCCCTTCAAAATCCAACGTATATAAACACAAAATAGCAAAATCTCACGGGCACTCTCGACACGACACGCAAGAATGGCATAATTACACAGAAGACAAATACTTTGAGTGAGTAGAAATGCTTTGATTGAATATATATAAAAATATATATAANTTGGCACGATAAAGAAAATGTTTTTCTGAAACCTACATCACACCAGACCGCATCTCACGATTTCTAAATAAATATCGATTAACGGTCACTAATCACCATACATAATCCATAAATTAGGTTTGGGTATTTAACTTGGTTTACATGATAAGCACCACCAAATAAATAAATTTTCAAAGCCTACAGTAATTTTGTACCAATCCGATAAATAAATGTTAAAAAAATAGACGCAAATGTGTCGTTTTTTTTCAACGACAAATTTGTTCCAAATTCTAAAATAAAACCCGGCAAAACTTATGAATTTTTCATTTCAACCAAAAACCTTGGATAAAAAGAAAATTAATTTTAAAAAAAGTTAGTCGGTTCAGCGGAAAAGGGTTTCGCTCTGGTGCAACCTAGTATACATGACTGGGAACATCCAGTTTCATACCCTATGCATTAATTTTGTACATGAAGTTAATCAAAGGAAAAACAAGCTTTGCGCATTTGAATTATTGCTCTTAGATATGATGTTCGTCGATCGATCTGCAGATAATGAAAACTGACATCTCGCTAAAAATCCATATGACTAAAGGTCCAACTATTTTATTTTTTGTTCTGACTAGCAATTTCTTTCAGGTACTTTTGTGATCACAGAGAATATTTACAAAACTTGGTTTTTTATATATTTAGAAACTAACATTACAGCTATTTACGGAAACTATGTACATAGGATTAAAAATTAATGGGTGAGAAAGCGACGACCCAGTGGCCTCCGGTTGGACTGCTATGATGTTTTCACCGTCAAAATGTATTATGCTGGCCATGTGCATCATAGCCTTAAACCCAAAAGTTTTGTACAATAGTTTTCCATGTTAATCGCTTTCTTCATCCGTGGGAAAGCCCTGATGATAGCATTTTAAGGTGCCGAAACCCAGCATTTAGTCTTTGGAATCCTACATTTATTGCTATTAGTTTAATTTGTACAAGACAGAATTTGCAGAAATAGAGATGTGAATGTCGACTTGCCCTGTTTCACCCTCTGTCGTGCTATCGGACGACGGCCTGAACACATCCATAAAATAAAGTACCGATTGGAAAAAATGAAAGCTTCTGTTGATATTAGAAAAACGGCAGTCTGTCTATATAATAATATTTCAAAAATGAACAAAATATAATAACGTGTGTGGTGATTAGTGACCGTTAATCGATAATTATTCAGAAATCGTGAGATGCGGTCAGGTGTGATGTAGGTTTCAGAAAAACATTTCTTTATCGTGCCAACGTTTCGATCTTTATTGAGATCATCTTCAGGGCCTAGGATTTACAAACATTGTTTACGTTTAACAAATACATTTAGGATGTGGAAAAGTGAATTTATACAATGCAAAATATATAGAAATGATACAAATGATAAATAATGGAGTGAGTGTGGTGTTCAATACTTTTTAAAAGGATAGTTCCTACTCACAGTAAGTTGTTTTGCAACGATCCGGATTTCGAGCCTTTTAGCTCATCATCAGGTTGAAGGACTTCTACAACCACGTCTCTCGACATGAATTGCCAAAGTGAACCGCTGTTACCTCCGCCAACGCGACGTTCCAATTATCAGCTGATTTTTTTAATGACGCTCAATTCGAACGTGCGAAACGCGGAAATTATAACACAAATAAATATTAGAATAATAAATACTTAATATTACTATAAATTACTATAAAAATAATAACAATTAAAATAATTAGATTAATTATTTGGATGTTTGATATTATTTATGTACATATTTACAATGGGAGGTAGATCAAAATCTGTTATATTATTAATGCATTTATATTGTTCAATTTTACATTTTTTAATTTCAAATTTCTCAAACCAATCTAGTTCTTTCCCTTTGTTGAAACTATGTAACACTCTTGTATTTAAATTTGAATTGAAATTATGTTTTGTTTCTTTTAGATGGTCCTTAAATTCCGAAAATTTGCTCGATTTAGGCAAGTGTTCTTTTACTCTTGTTTTTATTTCTCTACCGCTTTGTCCTATATATTTAATATCACAATCGTTACAATTGAGTTGTAAACCACACTTTTTGCCAAGTTGTCTACTTTGTCTTTAGGTTTTGAGAGGATGTTTTTAAGTGAACCCGTACTTCTAAAAGCTATTCTAAAACCTTCTTGTTTAAAAATTTTACTAACTTTTTGCGTTAATTCACCAATGTATGGCAAACAACGGAAATCTACTGATTCATTTGTGGTGGGGTGACTGAGTCCTATTGTTGATTCGTTTAAAGTTAATTTTTTTATTCTTTTAACTAGCAACCTATCAATAAATATTTCTTGATACCAGTTGTTTTTTGCTAAGGTTTTAATAGTTTTTAATTATTTTTTATAGTTATCAGGTGTTAGCGGAAGTTTTAACATCCGGTCTATGAGCCAAATGAAACCAGCAGCCTTTTGGGACCATGGGTGGGAAGAATCCGCTGGTATCATAGTGTCTGTAGTTGTGGGTTTTCTATATACATCTATATCATGCAAAATATATTTTTTATATTCAATCAAAGTATTTCTACTCACTCAAACTGTTTGTCTTCTGTGTAATTGTGCCGTTCTTGCGTGTCGTGTTGAGAGTGCCAGTGAGATTAAGATTCTCAACACGACACGCAAGAATGGCACAATTACACAGAAGACAAACACTTTAAGCGAGTAGAAATATTTCATTGAATATAAAAAATATATTTTGCATTGTATAAATTCACTTTTCTACATCCTAAATGTATTTGTTAAACGTAAACAATGTTTGTAAATCCCAGGCCCTGAAGATGATCTCAATAAAGATCGAAACGTTGGCACGATAAAGAAAATGTTTTTCTGAAACCTACATCACACCAGACCGCATCTCACGATTTCTGATTAAAAATATAATAACGTGAAAACATGGCAATAGATAAATATAACAGAGCTTAGGAGAATATTAATTCACAACCGTACAAAAACAAAGAATATCAAGAAATAATTATGACTTTTTTACGCAGAAATATATATGAATGATTTCACAGTTTAACAGAAAGACAGCAGTTGCAGATTAATATGTATGGAAGAAGGATACTTATTTATTCTGAAAAATCGACTATTTTTGAACTAATACCTCGAGGCAAGCCAAACCTCTTTCGTGTTGTAAAACCTAAAATTATTCATAGCTTTTATCCCTGAATAACAAGTATGAATTCACGCCAAACGGAAAATGCGTAAAACTGACTCATACAGCATTGAACTATTGGTTTTTATGTCTTGTATGAACGCAGTGTATGAAAATTATATAATTTGACATAGGGGTAAATGCTAATAATGAAGTAGCAGAAAATAACGCTAACTACTTTTTTAAACACTTAACCCTTCTCTTCAAAATAAATAAAACGACAATGAATTTACGACGATGTAATTTTGTTAATACTCAACGTCATCGGGGTAGGCGGGACGAGGTATGAAAACTGACTCTCTAGCTTTGAATTCGGACATGGTCCGTGCTCTGTCTTGCAACGTGAAGCACTTCATTTCTTCCGTGTCGTGGGCCAAGTTCCTTATGTTGTACAAGCATCCCCCTGCTGCTTCTTGCAATGATTTGTTTTCCGATTTAACGCATTGAATCAAGAACTGAAAGTTCAAGTTTGAAGAAAACGCTGAGAAAAATAAAATTGGTTACACTTACAGGCACAACACCGGCTTGGTGAAGCGAAATGCAGTTGATGGGATCGTAGCTAAGTTTCCATAGTGCATATGCTGCGGAAATGACAACTTGGATGTTAGATGATCCTAAGAACTGTACAAGGGGCTTTATGCAGCCGAGCCTTCCTAGTTCGAAGCTGTCTTTAGGATCGCTGGCCACTCCGGCAATCACCACACCGAGGCTTTCACGCAGAACGTCGCTTTGCTAGAAAACCGGAAATGTTAAAACTTGATTCTATGCTTTAAACAAACCAAGAAACTGACGACGTTGACCAGCTCGCAGATTTTTGGAACTATTCCCATTTGCGTGAGTATGCCGAGGTTTTCAGGGTTCATGGCGACTTTGGCAAGGGTCTCGCAACCGCCTGCGACAACACCCAAATCGTCAGAATCCAGGAGGCCCATAATAATATCCAACGCGCCTGATAAATTTCTAATCTCTTCACCTGCATCCTAAACGAAAAAAAATAAATTAAAAAACCTGATCACTGTAATCGGGCTCTCCGATGCTAAATCTATAACAAAAACAAGATTAAAAGCAAGTGACGTCGATAGGCCGTCAGGAGAAACTCCCATTTATCAAGATTGTCGTTAGGTTGCCCTCGAAGGTCCTGAACCATAGAAAAAGGATCATTCTCACCTCATAAGAATAAGCCACGTCAGGATTAAGGATTAAGGATCAGGATTAAGAATAGGTCATGTTGTCACCGGACATTTGTTTTGGGGAATGCCCGCGTAAGTGTCCAGCATGTCTGCTCTCCCGCTTAATTTAAGGGTACCATTCCTTGGCTACATATAGAGATTATTATAATCTAATACATTGAAAACATAATTAAAAGAAAATGTCAGCTTCGGAGAGCCGGGACGACAGAGAAGCTCTACTGTATCAAGAACACTGTCGGTAGGTGGACCTCGGAGGGTCTGACCGTTGAAGAAGGGTCAGCCTCACCCAATGCCTTGTGTCAATGCCCGCATATATTTCTAGCATCAGAGAAAGATTGATCGATGAGTCCCATCTAATGGAGGGAAGTCGTTCCTTGGCTTTATGTAAGAAGGCCACCTAAGTATTCATCGACTCTCAGTTAGGTTAGTTACCTATTTAAAGGGTCATAGAGGAATATCATGTTCTCCACTCCTCTGAGTGGATGTGATGTACACAGGAATGGCTGTATTTATGTGTGAGTATATTTGGATTTGAGATTACCTAGGAGCTGAAATGGCCTGTAGTCAGCCCCTAGAGCCCAACTTCGGCAGTAGGACGGATGACACCGAAGTCTGACCCCGCAGTACCAAAGCGCGAGGTGAGTGATGTGCGGGCAGAGCTTGTATAAATTAGTAATCAGTAATAAATAAATATTAAAATTACTTACAGGTGTTTGCTTTATAACTGGAACCAAAGCTCGTGCAGCCTGCTCCTGCACTCTCGGTGATTTCGAGTTTAACAAAGACCAAAGGAGTCTCAGGACCTCCATGTTGGTCATTTCTTTCATAATGGAAGGATCGTGGGCTATGTCGCCAATTATTCTTGCCACATTACTCATCAACTTGGATTCTGCTTTGTACTGCAACATATGCATCAACGGCTCCAAACCACCGCTGTCCTTCACCAGCTTCCAATTTGATGGATATGACGTCATAAAAGATAATATACCAGTTATATATATGAGGACCTGAAAATATTTTTTCATGTTCAATTGTATATACCACACCGAAACAGTAGTGATATATTTACTGGCGGTATAAAATTTGATGAATGTGTTACATAAGACGATTTTAAAGTAAAATTTACCACAGAATATACAAAATCAAGTTAAATTGATTATAAACTTTGAGCAAATAAAAAGTAATACAAGCCAAATTGCCATTAGGGTACAGCATGTAAAATTTACATGACTACATTACGTTCAACTAAAACTCGAACAGCTTAAATAGATTTTATATTGCGATATACTATACGATTACATCTGGAATGTCAAGCTGTTTTATGGTAATTAGCTAAACTGGTAAAGTCTCTTTCATTTGACCGTCAATAAATCCCTTAAAGGTCAAATTCCGACAAAAAGTATACGAGCAATGGAGCGTTAAAAAAAAATCAATTGATGCATTAATTTTGTATGAACTTCATTTGACCTCATTCACACTTTGTAATCAATTTTCTAAAAAAAATCGATAAAAAATGGCATTTAATCTCATCTCTAAATTCCTGTTTAAGGTATCCAAAAACCAGTTTTCATAAACTTGAACCTCTTCTTTCCAGTATAAAATCTTAATTCCGCGCATTTTAATCTTAATTTTTGGAAGACAAAAAATGCAACTGATAAAAAATGCAATGAAGTTGCACTAGTGTCAAACCAGTTTGGTTTGAAGTACCCTTTCGTCAAATTTTATGCACACCTCGTGCGGTGCTTGATCATTAATAATTTATTCGGTTATATTGTGCTCAATCGATTAAAGCTGACTATACTTTGAAATGTTTTACAAAATACTTAAAGTTAACGTATAGTGGATGTGTGTCCTGTATCTATTTCGCCATGATTTTTTTATCTACTTACACTTTCTTTCTCGTAGCTTAGCAGCCTGATAAGCGTTGGGATCAGTTGATACGAATTCAGTTTATCTCTTACACCAGGATGGACGCCAAGGCGATAGACACATCCGACCGCGTATTTGAAAGTCTTCGGGTTCGACAAAGAAGCCGGGGACTTGACAAGATTCACGAGTCGTTCCAAAGCGCCAAATTCAACAACTTGATTTCTTCCTATTTTGCTTACGCTACACTAAAATATCAAAAATGTTATAATTTTCACAAAAAAAAAAAAAAAAAAACTAAGAAACCTTGAATATAATTCTTAATACGAGCTCCTCCCTTTCAGGATCCTTCCAATGGTTAAGCACTGTTTTCAGGGTTTTGTCTATTTCAAATGATTTTCTAAACTCAGGCTTATTTTAAAAAAAAACAACAGTTTATTATAGATATATTAAAGAGTAGTAAGCAAATATGTTACCAAAGATGCACAGTTAGTTATCATTTTAAGTCCACTTATTCTTAGCTCTTCTTCTTTGGCGGTCAGAAGTCCTTTTAAAACCTTGAGTATGCCGTTTTCATACAAGACAGACCTGACCTTTCTTGACTTGCTGAGCTGTGTCAAAACATGTACAGAAGTTATAGCTATTTCCAAACAAAGCCGTTTGTGTTTTGGGCATCTATCTCTTCTGTTAAAAAGAATCTTCTGGTCGATGTCAACCATTTCCATCTGAAATCAGCATTGTTTTGGAGTTATGTCTTTATTTATGGATTTAGGCTTAACATACGAGCATTGGTATGCCGTCTAATTTCCTTATGATGGTTCTCGTTTTTCTCTGTTCAGCGAAAACATCGATGATTTGAACTGTCAAAATAATAATGTCGCTTTCTGAGTGGCAAAGAAGAGCTATAAGCTCACAGAGAATGCCCATGTTGATCAGTGTAATTGCTAAATTTTTGTTTTTGATCAGCTCTTTTATCGTCCTCAACGCACCTACCTGATAGATATGTTTATAATTGTTCTGTATGTCATTTCTTTACATGAATACTTACGATACATTTTATGCTCTGGACCCCCAAGGTGTTTATGAGGATTTCGATGCCGCCTGTGTCAACTATGGCATATTGATTTTCAGGTTTCATCAAATCGTAATCGGCCAGGCAGGCCAATGAAACAACCGTGGTCGACTCATCACCGGCCTAAAACACGCCTTGTCTGATTTACGGATTCCCAGAGTGGGCATAACTTACGTGAAATGTTATACTTTCATGAATTTCATGAGTTTTCTGATTTGCCAGTAGTCTGGGCCCAGGTTGACCATACTTGGACCCTGCCTAAGCTGGTATTTCGCCAAGTTTCTCGTCGGAGCGTCGGTATCTGTACTGACATCTCCATCGGAAAATGGTAAGCTGGGCACTTTGAACACTTTCGGGCCTCTTAAGTACCAGGGCGTATCGTCTGTCACTTGCCAATCATCTTCTTCTAAATGAACGTCAACGTTTTCGATACTTTCCTCACCATCCATTTTTTAAAAATTAAAAATTTGCCTCTGTCAACAGAAATAAACTTTACTGTAAATTTGGGCAAAATGGATTAAAAACCTATACACGATTTCATTCTCGGATATTAATTATCTCTCCCAACTAAACGGCTTACACATTTCCTCGACCAGAAACACCCCATCCAAGCAAATCTCTCTTTTCTACTCATACGTACTGATACTCGAAGAATACACGTATATAAATTTACGGTTCATCACAGTTTGGGGAAGATCTGAGATTAATTCTGAATAACTATGTTCTACAAATGCATTGATCCAGATCTGCGACAAAGAAGAAAAAAATTCCTTGTTACCGTTCTTTCTTGAGAACCGAGCTTCAAGAAACATCAATATGTGGGACGATCCCGCCGTCCGTTGGTTGGGACTGCTATTCTTCCAATCATTGTTTAAATTTTTCAGGTGTGATAACATTTTTAAAAATAAAAACGCGAAGTATCGGGTGAAAAGGGTAGAAGATTGGCCTGTTTTTAAGGATCTCCGATTTTAAGAAATTTAAGTAACATCAGAAATATCAACTTTAGATTAGATTCTATAGAAGCCGGCTTCTTAACGAACTGTACACCGCGACCAATATTGGTCTATTGTGCATAATATCAAACTTATTACTGAAAATCGGAGAGAGGTCAAGAAAAACTATGTTGTTATATTTTCGATGTAGTTACACACTGAAGTTTGACACATTAATCATGAACTGTGCATATGAAACTTATAATGGTTTCGATTGTAGATTTTCTTCATTTCGTTGTTTACATTTAAGCAATAGTCAGTAGCTAAATTTATTATATAGCTGTAATAATAAGATAATTTGTATTTCAACTTTTTAAGCAAATTGTGCAGCATCAGACGTTTCAAATCGAGGTCGTCTTCCCAAAATAGGACGCTTTGCATAATTTTAAATAAAACATGAAGTCAGAATGCTAAAAATTTTGAATAAGAATTATTTATTAATAAAAACGGAACCGTTGTTCGAACAGAAATCTACGAAAAAGGTCAACATGATCAAACGCTATATGTAAAAAAATATAGTTTATTTTTATTTTTTTAAATTTGTTTATTGTTTTTTAAACTGGAGCTTCCGACATCTAGGTCATTTCAGCCCCAAACTATGTCTATATTCCATTTACACTTTCAAACACCATCATTCATACAAATAAATACATCCATACACATAAATACATCCATACAATACACTCATTCCGTTTGGTCGGTGGAGTATTTGATATTCCTCCACCGACCTATACTCAAACTAATCTAGATTGGGGTCAATGGAGTACTTTTATAAATATTCCGTCATCGACCCCGAACACACACTCATACGCTCGCAACGTTCGAGGGGCGATGATGACGTTATATTTCACCCTCACCCCTCGCCATTCACGCTAATAAATACATCCACTCAGACAAAACATATAGACACACAACACATAAGACATATTATATCCAATAAAATAAACCCAATTTCCACTAAAAAGCGGACCAGGGGACTGAAACTCACTGCAGTGCTCGAGCACCATCTTCAGATTGGATGGCATGCCTACACGCTCCCTGTAGGGATTCAAGGCATGTTCCCAGTATGTGAGACACATCGAGCAACCTTTCCCTGCATAAGGGCCACCTGCGCGGGCTTTGGCCCAAGAGCAGGTGCCCGTGTGTCAACCGAGTGTGGCCTATTCTTAATCGCGTAAGGACGATTCCTTGTTTCCGGCTCAGGTTCTCGGGGGGGGGGGCATCTACGAATCGTGCTTTTGACGCGCAAAAGCCTCTCGGACGACCCGGCCCACAATATAGTTTATTATAAATTGAAAGGACTGCTGTTGTGTATAAAAATGCAAACACGGTGCCAAATCTCTGGCAAGGAGTTAACTCAATTTCAACAATTTGATTCAAAATTTTGTTATGTTTTCATTTGTGTTTTCTTACTTTTTTATTTAGTCAAACTTATATAATTTGATAATAAAATCAGATTATATACTATATCATTCGCCAGCCAGAATCATGGGTTTTGTTATTTCCTTTGGTCAGTAGAGATATTTCTCATCATAATCATTAATCATCCAAAACATGATCTTATTTTATTATTTTCTTTGTCTCGCTGATGTATTATTAAATAGAGGAACGACAATCCAGTAAATTAACATAGAAAAATGTAATACACGTCATGTGTTAGTTTTATGTTTGAAATATCACTTGATCATATTGAAATCTAACAATAAATTTAAAGAAACCGTAAAAATAATAATAATAATGATAGGGATAAAGGGAAGAAAACGCTATAGGAAAAATTAATATTCCTTTAATGTCTCAAATGTCATATTAATGTTCTACCTTCTTGATGAAAACTTCAATTTATTTAATTGTTTAAGTAATTATTTAATTAGGTCAATATTCTTTGTCATTTTGAGATGTTTCGTCTTCCTCATTTTGTTCATACGCTTTTTTTCTAAATTTAACTTCTTCTCTTCAACCACAAGGTGAAATCTACGCAGTATATGAAGATGATGGTGGGGTTAGCTATGCCAGAGGTAGTCGGTCAAGTTCAGACAATGACATTTTTCTCTAGAAGACAAAAAAGCGCGTGGAAGGCCGACTACAAACGATAACTAAGATTCAGTCAAAAAATTATAAAATATTGCAAAAATAAAGCAGTAGACAATAAAGTACAGAATCATAGACAAGAATAGTTTCCTATTTATAAAAAAAAAAAGTGTATAAAGTGGATTAAATTGTATGTGTCCTTTTAAAAACCGCCAAACAAATTAAACTTTTATTTCTAAGTGTAGTCGCTTTTCTTATTCGTAGTGAGATAACGTTGTCTTTATATTTACTGGATGCAAAAGGTCATCCAAGTTGGTTTTAAAAATATGCAGTTCCCAACCGAAAAAAGTACAAAACGTATGAAAACGCACGGTTTTAAAATGCATTGATGACGCGGGAAAATAGTTACACATAGTCATTTTTGCTAACCCACTAACCGAGAAGTTGCTAAATTATCTCAACTATATTCGAAAAAGTAGGTATCAGAGAACTACCCACAGCAGAAGAAAAACGAGAAGGTCAACATTTATCAGGGTATCCACTGATTAATAAAAAAAAACATCTGATTCTATAATGGAGGCTGTTCTTTTTATTTATATACATTTGTATGACATTTAAATAGTACAGCACGATGATCATTTGAATTGTGTGTTTAAATTTCTTTTGACAAACATGTTAAAACAATAATAAACTCGGATAAGTTTAAATTAACTCATGCTTCTTGTTACAAGTTTCGGATCAAACCTACTTATTGTAAAGCTCTTGGTGATTGTTTATTTTTTCATGCCTTATTTGAGTAATACAGTGCTTACCTTTATTGAAGAGTTTAGAATCAAGGTTCATCAGGAAAAAAGAAAACCTACACAACTATAGTAAAATCAGCTGGCGATAAGAGAAAGAACAAGTTTGAAATGGTCTGGTTAATTTCGAGAACGGTTTATTTTCCTAGTTTCTAACGATTAATTCCTAAAGATGAATCCATTATTAAATGAAGAACGTGAAGAATTTAAAATATGTTTTAACAGCGTTATTTTGCATTTTTCACAATGCATTAAAAGGAATTGCTATCTGGACGAGACTGCCTTGGAATGTTTGATTTTTATTATTATATTTTGGAAGTTATTTTTACGTAAAAAACATATTTCTGTATAATTTTGTAAAGGTTATGGAATCGTAAATTTTCTTTAAGGTAATATTATTTAAGGTTGCTAGATGTTGGCGGCGTGACGCGGGTCATTTGTGGCAACGCACCTAATCCTTCGTTCCTACCTAACTGAACGATTCTTCAGAGTCCGTCGAAGATCAGCCCAGTTTGACTATTGTCCTCCAAAACGGGAGAGCATCAGTGCAGTGTGGATCGACCCTTTACGTCCTCTTCACAGCAGATATCCCAACTTCACCATCCTTTACTGACCACACAGCTGTGCCATCCTCTCATCCCGATCCCACAACTGTTTCGGAGGAGCTGTCTTAAAAATAGCTGAATGGAGCAAACACTGGCGTATAAAGCATAATGAGAGCAAAAGCACACATGAATCATCCACCCACCGAAGGTAAACCCCTCATACAATACTCCTCAAAAGTACTCCTATCCCAAATACAGACTGAGTCTTGGGTACAATTTAGACTCAAGACTAACCTGGAACCACACGACTAAGCCGACAGGACTACTAAACTACTGTCACGCAACTAACGTTTCAAAGCAAAACAAACTTACAATCTACAAAACAGTACTAAAACCAATTTGATCGTACTGACTAAATGACAATCAATTAAGGTTTTTAGTTGAAAAAAAAGTTGAAAAAGATACGCCGCTGCTCTACCAACTGGGCTCGATCCACTCGGACATCAACTCCCCATCTCAACCCCACCTTATGAGTTTTCCCTCCTTTTTGCCATTTTTCAAATGTGTAATCGGTTTGGATTCTCGACGACAATTGAAATGGCGACGGAGAGCTTTATTGAAGTGTACTTCATTTTTAAATCACTAATTCAGTATTTTCGTGGTCCGCTCGACCAATTAATGCATGACAATCAATTAAGGTTTTTAGTTGAGATGAAAACTGGCAAAAAGGAGGGAAAATTCAAAAGGTGGGGCTGAGATGGGAAGTTAGCGCCCGAGTGGATCGAAGTCACGATAGCTCAAGTGGTAGAGTAGCGGCGTACCTAGCCGAAGGTCGTGGGTTCGAATCCCTCTCGTGCCATTAACGTTTTTTCATGTCAACTAAAAACCTTAATTGATTGTCATGTATTAATAGGTCGAGCGGAACACGAAAATAGTGAAGTACTGACTAAAATTGTGGGGCATCGCCGAACCTTAAAAAATCTCAATAATACAGTCCTTCCAACCCAAAGTCCCAGAATCGTAGTCAATACTCCTTACTACGTCTCCAACAACACCCTTCACAACGTCATCAAAATCCCTTTCTTGCAAAAAATGATTTCCAAAACATTTTCCACACTGAACTCTCCTCTCAGCCCAACCGAGCTGCCTTATCCAATTGAAACCACACCTATAATACCACCGGTCGACTGACGAGGAGAAGGCCTCGCGACCTACTAAACGAAGATTAGTACTCTTCTGTATTTGGGAAAACAACAATGGTTGCTAACTCCCCTCACGACACATAATCCATGCCAATTGTTCATTTAAATATTTGTTGTAAATAATGTTACAGATTGTAGTAAATATATTAAATGAAATAAAAAGTTTATGGGTATGGACGTATGTCAATCCCTCTCACTCACTCACTCTCTCTCTCCCTTTCTTTTTCCTTGTCTTACTGTTTCTCCTGTTTGTTTGTTTATATAGAAATGAGTAACTAGATCTAGTCCTTCTGTGTTTGTACTGCTTGCATAACTGAATAACTCATTGTGTGTTACGCACGTTTTGCAATGGTAGATCGGACGTACAGTGACATTAGTTAATCTTTTTTACACAGAATAATACTTGATGCCGTGTTATTAGAGTTTGGGCGCAATACCGTAATAACTGTCTTCTAAATGTCACCAGTGGGTCAAGGGGTTACACTGACGTCACTTTGACTTGAGAAAAATTGTGACACCCAAAGCCAGGCAACCTTCCCGTAACGGGATGCGCTTTTTATTATAATTTATAGCAACTTCCAAAAATCCGATTAAACGAGAAAATTTATAATGCTTGGTTATGTCATCTTGTAAGAAATCCGTCAATTTCTACCGGCATAAGGGTTTGTTTTCAGTTTCCGGTGATACCCAGGCGAGGTTCTTTCAATAGATTTTGTTTTCAAGAAAAAAAAATCGTTGCGTGGTGCAAAATCATATAAATTACGCGGGGAAAAGGTAGTTTGTCTTTTTCAATCTGAACAATTATAACGCAATTACACACTGATTTACAACATGCCATTTTCATTCTTTTAAATACATTTGTATTATACTAAAGCTATTTATCACTGTGGTCATAAAAAAATACCCGTGTCTTTTTCTAAACATTTTACGAAACACTTGGTATTTAGGTAATTTATTCTCCTCGCACACCGCACTTGTCGTAAGATTATAACCACAGGTTTTACGAGAGACTAACTCTTTTGAAAAGCTATAAAAAATATTCGTACAAATAGTTTTAATTTCAATCGGGTTGTGCGGAAAACCGGTTTGGGAAAAATCATTGTTTTTAAAGCTACGTAACATAAAAGTAAAATAAAAGTTTTACTATTAACGTATGAAAAATTCTACCAATAACAAATTGATGTCCTACGTAATTATAAAATTATTTGGTCATTTGTACCCAGGATTTAGCAGTTTAAAAAGTAATTATTTCTCAGTTTATACAGCTGTTTTTCAGTTAATAATGTCACAACAACAAACAAATTTACAAGTTTACGAATGAATTTAAATGCTATATTTTTTACTTAATTTATTTATCTCCGATTGCGTAATTTATTTGTTTTTATTTGTGTTGAACAATCTGTTATATTATAGTAAGATGCAATGAATAAAATACATTAAAATAAATACATGTAAGAAGACACATTGAGAAAAGCATTTTTTTAAGTCTTCTACACTGTACAGTGGGTTGCCCTCAATAAGCACTTTTAATTTTGGTAGCGTCCTTAGTTCTTTTGGAATTAAGTTATAACGCTTAATAGTAGGTGCGTCACTGTTTTTGGCTGTTTTTTCAAACCTGAAAAATTTAGAACTATGTTATCATTGTCTTTCATATAGCACTTATGTTTGTACCCCCCTCCCCAATTATTATTTGCATTTTCCCACAAACAACCCATAAAGGTACCAATGAACTCATTAGGGACACTTCGGTCTTTCAAGCAGAAATACATGCCATCAATGCTTGTGCCCTGGAAAATCTTAAAACAGGTTACACTGACAATAAAATCCTCATAAGATCAGATAGCCAAGCAGCCATTAAAGCATTAGCATGTAAAAGAATCACTTCAAAATTAGACAGTGAATGCATCCAAAATCTCCAAAACCTGGGGAAACAACAACCTGATGATATCTTGGGTGCCAGGGCACAGGGGAATTTTGGGTAAAGAGAAAGCAGACAGGCTGGCCAGAAGAGGCGAGACCATACATAGGCCCCGAACATATTTTTGGGATAACAAAAACAAATATAGAAACCTCCAACGCAGAATGGATCCAAACAAAACAAAAAGAGAAGTGGATAAACTCTAGCAGTGCTAGACATAGTAAACTTATGATGTTGCCAATACTGGCAAAAGCACTGCTGCAATTGGAGAGGGCCAAACTCAGAGCAGTGGTAGGACTACTAACCGGTCTCTGGCATCTGAGAAAACATCTACACAACATTGGTGTATACAGCGATGATCCCATTTGGAGACTATGTAATGAGGAGGAAGAAACAGCCACTCATATCATCTTCGAATGTTAAGCAACAGCTCAATGAAGATTTAACCTAACGTACCGAAAAAAATTGGGGAATCAAATTGCGACAGTCAAAGGCCTGATACTTCTAAGAAGAAGGATTGAGTTTATTGTACTGAATTAAGGAACTAGGAAGGTACAATAAGCCAGAAGGCTGAAGTGCCTGGGGAGTGCAAACCCAGCTTCATCGTATCCTTTTTCACCATACCATACCATCAACGCCAAGCTTTCGACAATTTTTATTGTCTTCCTCAGGGCACTACAGAGCCAGATAACAATTAATAAAACAATAAAATAATAATGCAATTTTTGCTTTCTTTTGGCTACTCACAGATAATCAGTTAACATATAAACAGATGGTTATACATCATGTCACAAATTTTTTCCACAACTTCTTCTTCACACAATTATGAAGATATATGTACGTAAATAAATATTATAGTCAAATCAAACAATATCTGACTGAACGAGTGCGTCAACATAAATATGATTGCGATGATGAAGAAAGTCCTGGAACTGCGTTATCGAAAAATTTGATAAAGTCAAAATCATGACCACAGAGAAAAATACAGGTCGGCGCCTTGTAAAACAAATGATGGACATTCACCAGGGTACAGCAATTCCCACCATTTAAAAGCTGATATTAATGGTATAATATAAAATGGGATTTTAGAAAAGGACAAGGCTCCCCACCGTGATGTTTAGCAATGGATTTTTTAGTAATTTATAAAAGCATTATTTATGTAATTATTTATTTAAGTATTTACTATGCATAAAGTTTAGGTAAACAGGCTATGATAATAGTTTTTAAGAAATCCTTGTAAAAAATGTTAGTTATTAGTTGGTGGCAGTGTCAAAGAACTGTGCCCTGAGGAAGACAATACAAATTCTCGAAAGCTTGGCGTTGATACACCACTAGTATTTATTACTTTTGACCACAACACAAATTCAACGGAAGCATCGGTATTGAATGTTGGCCGATCGCATAGGATCCATTAGTAAAATTCCATAATAAGCCATAAACAAGTCATCTTCATTTAACCCTGTTTTTAGGTTTCTGATAACATGATTACATATATAGAAGTGGCCAGTTTTTAAAGAGTTGGTAAATATGTACATTTCATC